GAGAGAGAGAGAGAGACGGAAAGATTTGCGTGTACATTTAAAATAAACTTACGTGTCTGATAGTAAAACCGCAAATATGGCGCCCGCGAACGGGACGAGACGGGACGAGCGACACGCATCGCGGTGGATTAAGTTGCGTTCGTTTTCTTCACGCCAGCAACGAGATATATAGACAGGATAGTATTCCTTTTCTCTACCATCTCTGCTTTTTTGTTTCACCTTTCGAACCGCAGCGCAGAGTGCATTTATCTGCCCGTCGCAGTGGCACTCGACACGCGGCCGGCGTCGCGCGATCCGCTCCGTTCTTAGGCGTTCCTAGAGATAGATATTCCACGTACCGTAAATTCTCTCGCGATATAATAATCCATCAAAGTTGCTCGTGTGCAGAGCCACCGCACTTGACATTTGTAACAGATTTCAGATCAGTCCTAACGCTTGAGAATATCGAGCTACGCGTGTGAAGCTGACGTATCGTTTTGTGAAAATTTATTATTTATTTATTGAAGCTTCTAGAGTTTTATTTTTAATAGTTTCACATAAGTTAGACAAATAGTTTTGATCATTAAAACACGAAAACCTGCCGTAGGACAAACCGAGACGTCAGGTACATGCAGCATCTCATTTTGTCCCGCGTGAGTTCTCTTAATATTCATTGCTAGATTTCAAATTCATAGTTCTACATAAATTCTAAAGAGAACGATGACAGATTTTTTAAAAGAGTTCTATTTATCATAAAATATTTATTGTGCAATTTTTCTAGCGATAAGGTAGTCATAATTTTCTGATCAGAAAACAACGAATTTTTCTAGTGATAAATTGATCGTAATTTTTTGACCACAAATATTTGTTTAATCTAGATAAAACTATAAAACTATAAAAAGTGAGACTAGAATTTTCAATAATTTATGAATTTCTACGAAATGATGTCAGCTTTACATACACATTTACCATTTTTATTTTTTTTTTTTTCAATTTTTATCAAATGTTATGAGCATTTCTAAAGATATCAAGGATTCTATATCCTTTAGAAATCGAATTATCCCACGTCCCATATATGCGTCTCGTCACTCGTGACTTTTCGTGCGACATGTCGCGTTAACGCGTGCTCAAAGTGAATCGAAGACGAACGGTCATCGGTGGCGCGTGCAAGAAGAGAAGGTGGAGGAGCGAGGGAGGATGCAGCCGCTCAAACTTTGGGAAATGAGAACTTTGGAGAGACTGTCCCGACATAGAGGCGGACGCCGCCGAGTGTCGCGATGGTACGTACACGGACCCGCCCTAAACTCACGTTCTCATAGTCCGCCTGTCTGTCTATTAATAAACGCGAACGAATGAGCTTGTCGACGAATGACCCTGTGTTCGTGTCTTACGCGACTCCGGTTGTCTCGGGACGTCTGGGTTGCATCGAGTGAAAAATCAGCGTAGAGTTCCCATCGAATTGCATCTGGCCTCTTCTTTTTCTTGCCGTGTTATACAATATTCGAGAGAAAAAAAATAAAAATAAAAATGGCGAGGTCGGAGGAACTCCGGAACGTCGAGTACGACTTCAACGTCAATTAAAGTTATAACGGTCCGGTCGATGGCATTCGTTAGTGTGATCCGTGCGTCAAATGCGTCGCGATGAAACGCGCATGGAACTCGCTCGAGTGCAACGCCCGCAAGTAGTATCAGAATCGAGCTTCCGATGGAGCTTTCGGTGCGTTACGGGACAAGCGTCCCGGAAGCAGGTCTGCCGCCTGACGACGACGCTGTACGTAATCCATTAATATCACGCGCGATGGACGTCGCGGCGGCGCGCGGGTGGGGACGGACGGTAATTAATGCGTGACGTTTAATTCGCCCGACGACCGTCCCTAAACCGGCGACACCATTGTTTCGACGGTGAGAGATAGAGACGAATATCCTGCCCTCAGGATCGGTTCTGATACCCGCGCGCGTGCGTCTCGAGAGCGATACCCGCAGCTTCTACGTCTATGGGAAAGAAATTGAATTTAAAAGGAAATTAGCGAACACGATTGCGCGCTGAGATGGTCACTCGCCGAAAAATACGGGGGCTTGGAGATTCGATTCGATCGAATTTTAACAATATTCGTACGATACAATCAAAACTCTTAATTTGTCATTCCTCGCAGTTTTATCTATATTATCTATATTATAATAATATAGTGTAATAAACTTGGAAAACCTGAAATTTCTTTTTTATTCTTGAAAATTAGGGAAACTCACATTCTATTTTATTGTGCCGCAAAGGATTTTTTAAAATTTTCTGTCGCAGAAAAAAATCTTATTTTTATAATGCAGGCTAATTAATAATTCGCTAATTGTTCAAATTGTAATCATGTACGATACACATCTGCGTATATATTTACATTGTAATTTGTTGAATTTTTGTAAAGATAATTTCATATTTCTCTAGAGTAATCAAGCCAAAGCATTAACATTCTAATATTATGATTACAAAATATATACTTCATGATTACAAAATATGAAAATAAATTTATTTTAAGATTGCATTCAAGAATTTTTTAATTTTGTCTGAAACTTTGAATAAAAAAACATTTAAAATTCTAGAAATTTTCAGAGAATTTTTTTTACAAAATTAACAGACACCTCGAATACATTTTTTACGTTCACGTCGCTTATTATATTCCGTCTGGGTTATCCGAGTTACACTGTAAATAATTTACAATCGTGCGATTTCTCCAATTAGCAGCGATCGTCGCGGCTCTCGCGTCGAGAAACGCGCGACGAAATCGCGAGAGGACGAGGCCGGCTGGTTTAACGATTTTCCAGGGACATCTCCGGCTGGAGGCAGACGGCTGTAACTGATGCATCTTTAATGTTGTCCTGTCGACCTGGGCCGCGCGCGTCGGTGAGAACGCGACGGGACCGGCGCGGCGGCGGTGCGGCGCGCGGTAGTCCGCTTGCGATTCTCAGCCGCGTGACTCGCTCATCGCTCTTTATCGAGCCGCGGCGTCGCCGCCGTCGCGACCGATAATCAAGAGTGACGCGCCCGCTCTCGTCCTTCCAGCCGGTTAGACAATTATTTGAGCATCGTAATGAACGGAGAGGAGCGCGACCGTACGGGGATGATATGACAAGCGCCGGCGCCCCGTAACCGTCCCTTTTAATTAAATGAATCTCGACGGTATCGTTAAAACGAGAGGACGTCTTAGAGCCCGCGGGATAGAGCGGTCTTGTAAATCCGTTTGCTGTGTACACGTCGGGCGATCGTCATTGTCGGCCGGGATCGGGAAAAGTCCTCCCCGCATTGATCTCATCTCCATAATGGATTATTAAATACTCTTCTTCTCTCGGGCTAACGTATAAGCTATCGATAAGGACGAGCTTTTCGAGCTCGTAGTCGCCGAGCGACGAACGCGCCTCTCTACTTTTAACTGTTTCGTGCCTCATCTTCCGCGTTCTGCCTCTGTCTGACGCATGAATTATTCACGAAGATGAATTATTCATAGAAAAGAGAGTACTTAGTCTTCATAATACACATTCCGCTTAATATGCTATACGACCGGCGATTTATTATTTGCGATTTGCGTTAAGTGGTCGGCGGTGAGCTCGACGCAATCGGCAAATTTCTCTGACGGAAGTCCAAATTCGGAGTTACTGTCGAGACACGACCGAATTAAATCCGTAACCGCCTCGTATTCGCGCGCCTACGTCCCCGAGACGAAACATTCCGCTAACAACCCCTAATGGCGTCCTCTCGCCTTCTGGACTTTCCAGCCAGGACCTATTGACGGTGTGCCGGGAATTGAACCTCGAGAATTCGGTGGAGGAATTGATGAGGGAATTGGGCGCGGACGAACACGGTCGTATTTCCTATCAAGAGTTCCTCAGGCGACGTCTGGCCCTGCGACCGGAAATCGAGGCGCTCAGAGCCGGCAAACGGCGAAGCAGCCCGCATCACACCCACACGCCGGAGTACCTGCCCACCAGCAGCGACAACAGCCTCGGTAAGAATCCTTACAAATCGTTCGAATTTCCACAGACAGATCCTCCCTCCTTTCCGCCCGTGACGATAAATTACCCCGCAGTCGAGACGAAAGCTGGAGCCTTCGCGCGAGCAACAAATATTATGTCCTCCGTTTCATCGCTTCTGAAAGTACGCCTCTGAACGACGTCTATTTATCAGAATACGAAGAGTCATGGGGTTATTTTGCGCCGGGCAATATATCGCGATCTAGCCGTATTTGCGTGCCGCGTGGAAATAGGAGCGCGAGCTATCCCTTCGAAAATTGATGATTGATGGAACAATGAATACGGGACGAACGCGGAAATACGCGCAGGCATTGGTAATATCCCGATCGAACGGGTCGCATGTAACTGGATACGAGACGCGAGATCGATGGACGTATTGGAGATGGCGACTTTTAGTTAATAATGACGCATTATTGACGCGCGCGTATCTCGCGCCGTTCGCCATTCGATCATAAATTTTGATTAAATGATAACCGGACCGTAAAAGGAAATGTTTAATTCACATTCCTACTTTTATGATGATTTCGCTAGGAACAATGGTAAAACAAGAATCTTGTACGCAATTCAATAATCTTCTCGCAGAATCTCTTCGCGTTAGTATTAGAAATACCAAACGGTTCTTTGAAACCATTTCTATTTTTTTTTTAATTAACAATTTTCTAGTGATATCGAATGATAGAATGAAATTTTAAAATTTTCCGAGACTAATATTTCAGAATAGACGAAGTAATTTATGAGTTAAAGTTAGCTTTATTTAATTTATGAGTTAAAATTTCAAAATCATGTTTCTCGTGCAAGAAAAAAGATATTAATTAAAAAAATAGAAATGATCACTCACGGTACTTTTCTCTGTTAAATGAACGCCAAACGTAATTTACCTATTACAGGCACCGTGTCGGGACGACATGAAAGTTGGGAGTTCGACAGCGGTGCCCGTGATTTGTCTCCGGAACCCCATAGTCTTCAAAAGCTAGTGGAGGCGGCCGCCGGCGGAACGGGAAATATGCTGGACCTCGCGAATAAGGTGAGTCGCGACGATCTATCCACCTCAATAAAACGACTGTCGATATCTACATCTTCGACCGATTCGCCTCTTGGCATTATATTCGTTCCGCGTTTCGCGTGCGCGAATCGCTTTCGCGTGATCGCTTGGCGAACGTCTGCCTTACCGTTATAAACTTGTGATGGGACCTGTCATACCTGTCATATCTCGCGTACATACAACATACATGCATGTTGACAGGAAGATTCTGTAGAACGCGCTTAATCCCTTAAATTTTACACGGCACTTCACGTGCTGTGTAACATATGATAATAATTAACGCGATGCACTCGTCTTATCAAAGGAAAAATTCATTAATGCCCGATTGCACCATTGTTACTTTGGCTTTAAACGAGACTTAAATATGTCTTTATTTATTTAGGAAAAAAGATAAAGACAGATATATGGTCGAAACTCTTCAAACCAAAAAATTACCAAAATAGTTGGGCCTTAAGAGATATACATGTCTTCCTTCTTCATATTATTATTTGAAGTATTCCTCAAGTTGAGAAAAACTGCCTTACAAATTATCGACTGATGAAGTTCTGGGGTACGTCTGCTTGTTAATGCAACATTCGCGTTGATGGAAAGTCAACGAGACGCGCAATTATCCACAGGGGAAATTGTCTTTGCATGCCGATAATCCTCGGTTTTCCTTAGCGAGCAGAGCACTCGTTTCGCTTAACTCCTTCATCTCTGGCCGCGTCCACGGCTCTCTATTATTTCCCCCTTCGTATCGCGAGTTCGCGCCTGGGAATTTCTTTGTCAGCCGCAATTAACCGCGATATCACCACCGAGACGCGGTATGCCGTCGTGGAAGACGTGCAATTTCTGCATTCCCTGCTTTCCCCCGTCCGCGCTCGCCAGCTTCGGTATCGAATTACGAAGTGTAGATTAAACACCGTACATCGACATTGTTTACACGAAATCTTTTTCAATTCGTCGTTGAAGAATAGCCAAAAATTCTAAAAATTGTCGCATGAAAATTGTCAATGAACAATTATGTAACAATTTTGAATGAAAAGAAGAATACATCTCAGTCGTCGAGTATGCAGACATAAAGTTGCGATTAAATTTTGGATAAATTTTTTAGATAAATTTTCACCATTCAAATTGACACCAGGAATTTTTGCGGCACACCTTTAAATTTCGATTTCTGCTCGAATTGCTTCGACGATGAAATTCCCATCTCTCTCTCTCGGGGCGTTTCGGTTTCGGCGGATGATTCGGTTCGCGATCGCGCTCGTAACGCGCGAGCTTCCCTGCTCGTTTTAAAAGTCACGACAGCTGCAGGGGAAAAGAGAAATAAAAGCACGTCGGCCAAATTCCGAGGTTATCGCGATTTCTCGCGAGAGCCTCCACTCCCGTGTTTCGAGGAACGAGAACAGGAGAACAGAAGGAGGATGGTTTCGGGGAAGGAAAAAAGAAGCATGCGTCGTTTACTGCCTATAAATAACCGTTATTACGCTTCGCATTATGGCATCGAAAAAGCAGAGAAAGCCAGCGAATTTTGACCGCTCACTGAAGAGCAACGTTGCACCCCACGCGGAAGACTTCGCTAATTGTAAGAAGATAAAAAAGATATGAATGTATAAAAAACATATATAGAAGTAACATCATTTTTCATTCTACGTAGCTTTTTCCAGGCATAAATATCTCGGTGTAACGTACGCATTTGCGCGCATTTTTAAGAGAAACGCCAAGAGCCAAACATCACATCACCCGGTGATGTTTTTCCTTCCTTTTTCCATTCACGTCTGCGAATGTGCGGAAAAGCTTTCGCGCGTCCGCGTTACACCAGATTCTGACGGCGTCCGTTTCACGAGAAAAGCGCAAATATGCAGCATCTTAAATCGCCCGTTCGTGCGGCGAAGCTGTTTCCTCGCGGAAACGCTGTTCCGCGCGAATTTCCATAGAAATGGAACGGAGAAGTCGCGAGGGGAGCGCGAGGGAGGCGTCGAGGTAAACGTAACAGCGATGTTAATTCCCCGTCGTTACACCGAAATTACTAGAGATTACTAGAGCCGTGTTATCGTGCGAGATGATACGCTAACGTAAATGTGCAATCGAAATATTTGCGTGCAACGACGATATTACATTTTCGTGTGTATCTATCGCCGCCACGATTGGCAAGAAATTATTATATCCCGCGGAAAAAAGATATCTAAAGTTGAACCAAGAAAATAAACTCGCTGAACGACTTTAGGGAATGCGAACTTTATCGCGAGCACTGATGTCGTCATAGGACATTGTGTGAGGATTCTTGTTGTGATAAAAAAGAAATTAACCAATACTATAATAAAAAATAAAGTATACAAATACTGAACGAAATAGTTGTCACTTTAGTGCTTGACCGATTAATTTGTAATTATCGTGGGTCGTGCACGTTGTCCGGAAATGCAGTTAATACTTCCTAATTGTAACAGAGTGGCCATAAAAGGGAAGAAGAAAGCGAGACGGCGTCGCGTAGCCGGCGGTTGCGAGGAGGGGACAGATTGTTATCAGAGCGTGTAAGGAAGGATGCGCGCCGAAACGACGGCACCATGAAAAAAAGATGAAGCTGGATAGGTGATAGGCCGCGACGGAGTAATAAAGGCCGCAATAAGATTCCGCAATTTTTTCCCGGACAAATGAGCCGTGCGAGCGATCCGGGCGCGCGATAACCCGGCGACGATCGGTCGGTCGGTCGGCCGGGCCGCCTCGCCTCGTCTCGGAAGACGAAAGAAATATCCTGAGACGATGTTTTTCTAGAGCGGCCGATCGTTATTTTCCATCGCGCGCGACGCCCACATCCTTTCTCCCGAGGATATTTACTTCCGCCCTCCCCCCTCCCTCTCCCCTCGTCGTCGGACTCCGAGGAATTCCATATCTCCTCGTCTTCCCCTATGAATTCTCTCGTTATACGCTCGCGTGACGCAATAAACGGTACGCCGCGGCGATGATACCGTAAGAGGCGTTAAAATTGCGCCAACAGGTGCGCGAGGCTGAGAAAAAAAGAACAAGGTCTTGAAATCTCGAGGAAGGCTTTCATGCTCGGCGAGCGGCAGACGGCACACGTAAAGATTAATAAAATCTTCCGGGTGGGGAAAAAGGGAGCTACACCTTCGTGATCCTTGGTTGGGCCATGACGTAATCTGATTATGCGTACGCCCTTAGACGATAAGCGTGGCTGTCTTTCGCAGGACGGTAAAAATAATCGCGGTAACGGGCCGCGCAGGAGGAAGCCACGCTTCTAATTTTATGCGAAGCATCTTGTTTTCCATTCGAGCGGCGTTTCGGATAACACGCTCCGCTTGGCGTGTCGACACTCATAATCGCGCGTAGCTCGTAAGCGGGTACAACCTGCTGCCGTATGTAGATCGGGAGATTAGGATCTCGCGCCGAGACGGGTTCCCGTTTCACGCGAGATTCGCCGTGATTCGAAGAATTCGTGCGCGGAGACGACGGTGAAGTTCTCGGCTCCACTCGGGGAAGCCAGCCGTTTTTCGTCTTCGCCGACCTTCGCCCTTTTCCACATTGCTCCCGCGTCGTCGCGTTAATCGAGAAATTAGCGGAGTTAATTAAGACACCGCGCCCAGGTCGGTCCCGCCTACATAATTACACTAATACAATCGCTCTCGGTCTTGCGGTTCTCCCTCCTTTCCCCATTCCCACTCCCAACTTCTCCGCACTTTTCGCGTCTTTGACTTTTTTCCCCCTCGGTCGGCAGGCGGAATCGCGTTCGATCGCGGCGCGATTCATTTCCACGTTGTCCGCTTCGTGCGTTTTCACAATTTTTATTGTTTATCGCCGAGGAGGCTGATGACTTACGGCAACTCGTGAGATTAATGGTTCGTCGCAGACGTAAGCGGTTCCTATGGTGCACGCGCATAGGAACGGATCCGCGTGATACCGCAACGGGACGTTTTTCCACGCAACGTACGTCTTAACGAGTTAGACATGAGGGAATACGGAGAGAGAGGAGGAGTCATTTGCGGTGATCCTAATAATTTCGCCTAAGTGTCGCTATTCGGTTAACCGCTACAGCAATCTTCTCGCGGCTCGCGGCCGCGCGCGGTGCGTCGTGCCGTAACAGTCACGTTTCTCTCCTCCCCTGTGATTATGTCAGCTGCGGTTTCTTCTTGTCGCCTCACACCTTAAAGGGCATCCGTTCTCAGGATGCCTAATGGATTCGCTTTATCTTAACCGTTCTATCCCCGATTCTCGCAAGCCGGAGCGAGCGAAGCTCGTGCTGACTTCGGCCTCGGCCGAACTATCTCTCTCGGAGCGACGCGCGATCGATATCCGTTTGCAAGTACGTTTGTGACGCTCCTGGCGAAAAAAGACGAGAGAGAAGGAAGAGGGAAAGTAAAGAATGTTGAAGTTGTTAAAAAGACACGACAAGACGCAGTTAATCGCATCAAAAAATCGCTTCTATTTATGATCACAGGCGACTTTTTGAGTTCTCGCAGGAAGGAGGAGGGTTAATTTGGAAATTCCAACGACGAATTAACGCATTAATGGACAGATCGGTGGGCTTTATTATCCTCTTCGAAACTCTCTCGCGACGACTGCATTACCGTGTACCACCCACAACGACACGGTGGTATCGCGCATCGCGAGCGAGCGAGCGAGAACGCGGGGATAGATAACTGCAGGCCGCGGAGCTTTCGGTGCAACGAGCCGGATCGGCAACGCTCGGTGGCGGTCGGTCGCCCTCGGCCGGCGCCTCCTCAAACACCTTCGGGGTGTAGGAACACCGAACACTGTTCGGTAGTCTGTCCGGTTCAGTCTGTCACCGAGCGTCTTGGCGTTCGTTCGCTCGCCGTCGCGCCGATCTCCGTGAGATCTCTCGATTCGCTTCGCCGATTTGACGTCGACGCCGATGCCGACGCCGACGCCGACGTCGACGTCGATGCGCGAGCAGTGATCGTCGCCGATCGTGCGGTAAACCTTGGGGGATCGCCGATTCTCCAAATCGGTCCGATCGACCCAATTGCAAG